TTGCGTCATTTCTTTTGGCCAGGATTGAAGAGCGATGTCGTGCGCTATTGTAATTCGTGTCACTTTTGTCAAGTGTCTGGAAAGCCAAATCAGACGATTTCTCCTGCTCCTTTGTATCCCATCCCAGCCATCACTGAACCATTTGAGAGAGTATTGGTTGACTGTGTGGGTCCGTTGCCTCGAACCAAAGCGGGGAATAAATTCTTAGTAACGGTGATGTGCACCTCTACTCGTTTTCCAGAGGTTTTTCCGGTGCGTAAAATAACTACGCCCGTAGTGGTTAAAGCATTGACAAAGTTTTTTTCATTGTTTGGTTTACCTCGGGTTGTGCAGACTGACCAGGGGTCTAATTTCATGTCTAGAGTTTTTGCACAGGTTTTACGTCAATTGGACATAAAGCACTGTCATTCCAGCGCTTATCACCCAGAGAGTCAGGGCGCACTCGAGCGTTTCCATCAAACTTTAAAAACAATGCTTCGCACCTACTGTTTGGAGTTTGAAAAAGACTGGGATGAAGGTGTACATTTACAAATGTTTGCTATTCGGGAGGTGGTTCAGGAATCTCTGGGGTTTAGCCCGTCGGACTTGGTTTTTGCTCACACTGTTCGCGGCCCTTTAAGGCTGTTGAAAGAGAAGTGGTTGTGTGACAAATCTGACCTGAATTTGTTAGACTATGTTAGTAATTTCCGGATGAAGTTGAATCGTGCGTGTGAGATTGCTAAAGAGAATCTTAAAACTGCACAGGCTAAAATGAAGTCCTTGTTTGACAGAAGGGCAGTTTTGAGAGTTTTTCAGCCTGGGGAGAAAGTGTTAGCGTTACTTCCGGTTCCTGGTTCCAGCTTGCAAGCGCGCTGTAGTGGGCCTTATACAATCACGAGAAAGGTTGGTAATCGTGATTATCTGATCTCTACTCCTGATCGGAGGCGCACTTCACGCTTATGTCATGTGAACATGCTGAAGCCGTACGTCGAACGTGCATCTGCTCTGCATAAATCTATCAGTTGTGTTTCCAGTGAACGAGATGACGCAGATGTCGGGGCAGCTGCAGATGCACGGGAGGAGCTGTCCGGTGCTGAACCTGAAGATGACGTTTTCTCCCCGGCTGTTACTGAAGGGAGGGTTCCAAATTCAGCGGTGTTGGGGAACTTGCCTCTCTTGTTGTCACACCTTGATTTTTCCAAGCAGGCTGATGTGGTTCATTTGATCCAGTCTCATAGGTCTCTGTTTGCAGATATTCCCACTCAGACTCGTGTGCTCAGCCATGACATTGACATTGGTGATTCCAGGCCAATTAAACAACACCCGTACAGAGTGAACCCAGACAAACGGCGCCGTTTGCAGACGCAGGTGGAGTACATGGTGGAACATGGACTTGCTGTTGCCAGCAGTAGTGCGTGGAGTTCACCATGTCTCCTGACTGTTAAAGCCAATGGGGAGGACCGTTTTTGTACGGACTTCAGGAAGGTAAATGGGGTGACTAGGCCGGATTGCTATCCACTCCCTCGTATGGAGGATTGTGTGGACCATGTGGGGGCTGCCCAGTTCGTTACGAAGCTGGATTTGCTAAAGGGGTACTGGCAGGTGCCCTTAACGGCGAGAGCCCAGGAGATTTCCGCCTTTGTCACACCCGATGATTTCCTTCAGTACACCGTGATGGCTTTTGGGATGCGTAACGCCCCAGCGACGTTTCAACGGCTAATGAATGTTGTTTTGTCGGGTTTATCATTCTGTGAGGCTTATTTGGATGACGTGGTGATTTGTTCTGCTACCTGGACTGAGCACGTTGACCATTTAAAAACTGTTTTTACGCGTCTGAGTGAGGCTAATTTGACGGTTAATCTTTCTAAATGCCAATTCGGCCACGCGACGGTGACCTATCTTGGAAAAAGGGTCGGGGGAGGTCAGGTGCGCCCCGTTGAGGCTAAAGTAGAGGCTATTCTTTCTGTCCCAGTGCCCACCACTCGTACTGAGCTACGCCGCTATCTGGCGATGGTTGGCTACTACAGGGGGTTTTGTAAAAACTTTTCCTCTGTGGCTGCCCCGTTGACAGACCTACTTAGCCCTAAAGTGGCTTTTATTTGGTCTGATCGGTGTCAATCTGCTTTTGAGCAAACTAAGCATTTGCTGGTTAATGCTCCTGTGTTGTCTGCTCCTCGTTTTGATGTACCATTTAAGTTGGCTGTGGACGCTTGTGATTCTGGTGTCGGAGCTGTCCTGCTCCAGGATGGTACTGATGGGGTGGAACATCCGGTTTCTTATTTTTCTAAGAAACTGGATAAGTATCAGAGATGGTATTCCACCATTGAGAAGGAGGCATTAGCGTTGATCCTTGCTTTGGAACATTTTGAGGTGTATGTTGGAGGTTCTAGCGGATCTGTGGTTGTTTTTACGGACCATAATCCGTTAGTTTTTCTGGCTCGCATGCGGAATAAAAACCGCCGCTTGATGAACTGGTCTTTGCGACTCCAATCCTTTAACATCTCTATACAGCATGTTCGTGGTAAAGACAACGTAGTGGCCGACGCACTCTCGCGTCTCTAGTCCCGTTTGTTTTTTTCTCTGAATGGGTTGGGGTTTTTTTTTACTTCAGACCCCATTCAGAGTCTTTGGGTGGGGGTGTTATGTGCTTCGGGCACATTATGATTTTTGTCCATTTCTTTTCTTTGTTTCTTATAAACTTTAGTTGAAGGATCTTTTGTTAATATATTTTGGGATTCTTTTAGCAAGTTAATTATGTTAATTTGTGGTGCTGTCGTCCGCCTATAAATAGGCTGGCCTTCAGCACGTTAGCGCGTTCCTTGCGCGTTCCTTTCCAACCTCGTTTGGACGCCACTTCCCACCTGCTTCATTTGCTCCATCATGCGCGGTGCGCACTGGTCTTGTCGCTGCGGCCTGCAGCGGACGTTCCAGCCTGCCATGTGGTATTTTTGTTACCTTTTTCTTACTTTTTTCTTGAGGTTTTTGGCCTGGCGGGACCGGTAGTCCTGTTTTCGATTTTTCTTTCGCTTAGGTTATTTTTTGCCTTTAGTCCGGTACCAGTAGGGGCTTCGACGGCCCTGTATAGGGTTGGCCCCCTGCTGTACCGTTTTATTCTGTTTGATCGGCCTGCCAGGTCCAACTTTCTGTTGTTACTTTGGGTTTCTTTTTTTATTTTTTTGGGGCACGGGATTTGAGGGCCGTTAACTATTTTTCTCTTCGCAGAACATCTGAAGAAGCCGAACCAAGAACAACTAAAACGGAGAGAATTTATTAATAAAATATCTTTTTTTGAACCCTCATTTTTGTCTCGTGTCCTCAAATATGTTGTGTCCTTGGTGGGCGTAACAGTATGTATATATACATATATATATATATATATATATATATATGTATGTATACATATGTATGTATATATACATGTATGTATACATATGTATGTATATATACATGTATGTATATATATGTATGTATATATACATATATATATATATATATATATATATATATATATATATATATATATATATATATATATACATATATATATATATACATATATATATATATACATATATATATATATATATATATATATATATATATATACATATATATATATATACATATATATATATATACATATATATATATATACATATATACATTTATATATATATATATATATATATATATATATATATATATATATATATATATATATATATATATATATATATATATATATATATATGTATGTATATATACATATACATATACATATATATATATTATATATAATGCTGCAGAATATATATATATCAAACTTCTTCCGTGAGTCCGAAGGGGGAAGGAAGTTGAACCTTAAGTGGTTTCTCTAGCATTAACTCTGTAAAATAACAAAGATTTTAAAACAGAGCGTGCAAGAAATGACTTACTTACTTAACTGATTTTAACTGGGTATACAACCTGATTATTCACAGACCAGATGTACTGGTCAATAAATAACCAGTGTTTTACTGCAAAATACTGGTTATATATAACACAAATGTACTGAAAAATTAAATATCTTTATCATGATTCAATTTCTTTCATGTAGTAAATCATAAAGTCCACTCCTTATAGAATTAGGCTATTAAATTCTCATTCTAAAGGTATTCAGAGATAACATACTGTTGCGGATCTCGTCCACTATAAAAGGGTCGAAGCGGATCTTGTCGACGCTCTCATCCAAGCAGTAAGTCTCATAGATCTTCTTCACCTCTTCATGCAGCATCATCTTCTCCGAGTCCGAAAGCTCGGGGCAAAGAATCCTATCATTGAATTCCTCTGAGGAATTAAGACATTTAGACAAGATGGAGTCACCGTGTGGAAGGTTTTCACAGGACTGTAGCATCAAACTGAGACCAGCGCTGGTGCAACAGAAGGTAGGTTAACCTGCCCACCTCTGTCCAGGTGTGAATGAGACCCACTTACCAACTGCGAGACAGAACTGGAGCACGTGCACAGCTCCTTCTTGTTTGAGGAAGTTCATGAAGCGAAAGAGGAGGTCTTGTTGTTCTCGGATTTCCTTTAACTCCAGCTTGAGCACCTGGTGCAGGGAAAGAAAAAACAGGCGACGGCAAACAGATTCGGCTTTATGTGCTTGTTTGGCTTTCGGTAAAATTTATTTCACATGTCTCATGAGAACATGTTACATGTATAAGTAGAGCAAAGCACTTACTGAAGGCTTTTTGTTGCGAGAATCAGAATACTTGTGTAAAAATGGAACAAGTGTTGAAGTTGGCTCTGTTGCTTCTTCGGGCTGTAGAGAAAATAAATGCATATAAATGTAATCCTTTATAAATCACAATTATGCATTCCAATCAGGATGTTTGTCAGAAAAAAAGACATTAAACAAACGTCCCAATAAGGGCCAAAATTCTGTAATAATACGTGTTTTTTTTTTTTGGCTTTATTTAATGTTTTAGTATTAAAAGTCATATTTTTTTGTAGCTCAATCTAAAAAAAAAAAAATCCTCATAGTTAATAAAAAAATAAGGCTTTAAATCCCCAATCTCTGTGTAATTAATACATATGGGTTTCAAGTAGCAAATTGTTACTGAAAAAAAGCTGTTAAATAATATTCAGTTTTATTTCATTAGAAATAAAAACATGCATTTAATCATAAAGTATATCCACTTTGCAACAGCATGACAGAAAATACAAACCAAACATGTTGTTGAAATGTGGTTCAACATACTTACAGGGGAGTTGTCAATGAATATCAAAATTAAATGATTCACTGTGTCCTGTAATGTAAACAAAGGGAGATTTGCTCACGTCTCTGGATCTGAATTTTCATTTTGATGTTTGTTAGAAAAATAAGCCTAATTCGCCATGAACTCACTGGATCAGCCAAATAGTCCATCGAAGGAAGAAAGACGGAACCGGCCAAGACTTCTCTAATCAGGAGAGCTAGAGATCTGACAAAAAAAAATAAAGAAAAAGCAAAAAAAAAAAAAAAAAAAAAAAACACATTTAAATGGTAAAAATAAATAAAAAAAATGAAAGAAGACCCATTATTCTTCACATTTTCTTCATCAGAGAAGATAGGGTCCAAAAAAAAAAGGATTCACACCAACTAAACTTTTTCCCATCATGAAGATTTAGAATAAATTACACATTAAGACAGAGGTACTTTACTAAGTAGTACAAATGGTTGCATTTCATATTATCAAGGAGAATCACAGTAAAGTGGGGTGAATAAAATGCACAACTTTGTGGTGGTCTGTAACATTAAAACCCAATAAAATACAACGATCATATTAAGGCTGCAATGTGACAGCGGTATATTAAATGTGCATAGTCATGTCATCTGTACATACAAAAAAATAACATTTGATCATGATAAAATAGTAAATCTACATATAATAAGCATCAGTCCTGAAAGTATTTAGTCCTTTTTGAGCCTAAATAGAGATCCAGGACCAGGCAGGTTGAGCAGACATACACAGTCAGGGCGCCATCTGCTGGCAGTATTACAGAACTATCAGAAAGAGCCGGACTGTCCTGAGGCCCGTCCCATGAAGTTAGGCCCAAAGCTGCACTGTCAGGACCTAGAGCTGCACGGTCAGGACCCAGAGCTGCAATGTCAGGGCCCAGAGCTGCAATGTCAGGGCCCAGAGCTGCAATGTCAGGGCCCAGAGCTGCAATGTCAGGGCCCAGAGCTGCAATGTCAGGGCCCAGAGCTGCAATGTCAGGGCCCAGAGCTGCAATGTCAGGGCCCCAGAGCTGCAATGTCAGGGCCCCAGAGCTGCAATGTCAGGGCCCCAGAGCTGCACTGTCAGGACCCCAGAGCTGCAATGTCAGGACCCAGAGCTGCAATGTCAGGACCTAGAGCTGCACTGTCAGGACCCAGAGCTGCAATGTCAGGGCCCAGAGCTGCAATGTCAGGGCCCAGAGCTGCGATGTCAGGGCCCAGAGCTGCAATGTCAGGGCCCAGAGCTCCAATGTCAGGGCCCCAGAGCTGCAATGTCAGGACCCCAGAGCTGCAATGTCAGGACCCAGAGCTGCAATGTCAGGGCCCAGAGCTGCAATGTCAGGGCCCAGAGCTGCGATGTCAGGGCCCAGAGCTGCAATGTCAGGGCCCAGAGCTGCAATGTCAGGGCCCCAGAGCTGCAATGTCAGGACCCCAGAGCTGCAATGTCAGGACCCAGAGCTGCAATGTCAGGACCCAGAGCTGCAATGTCAGGACCCAGAGCTGCAATGTCAGGACCCAGAGCTGCAATGTCAGGACCCAGAGCTGCAATGTCAGGACCCAGAGCTGCAATGTCAGGGCCCAGAGCTGCAATGTCAGGACCCAGAGCTGCAATTTCAGGGCCCAGAGCTGCAATGTCAGGACCCAGAGCTGCAATGTCAGGACCCAGAGCTGCACTGTCAGGACCCAGAGCTGCAATGTCAGGACCCAGAGCTGCACTGTCAGGACCCTGGCTGCAGAACTGCAATGTGAGGTCTCCTTCACTGTTAGAACCGGAAGTTTATTCAAAGACTTTCAAAGTAAAAGCAGAGTTGATTAGAAGATAGCATCGATAAACCCCCCATGAAGCTAGATTGCTTACACAAAGAAGTGTTGTTATGCTTAAAACTTATGTACACGCCCTTTTTTATTCCCCACCAAACTGCTATTTCAAATAATACATATGTGCTAGATAGAAATAAGTCTGTATTTGAATCTCTGAATGGAAAAGGGCATTTATAAGATATTTTCTAAACGACAATGCAGGTTGGCTGTCCTATGAGGATTTTTGCTTACAACATAATTTAAACTGCTCCTATGCTCAGTTTAACTCTGTAAAAAAACTCTAATCCGGCAGCAAAGACGTGCTGCTACCTACTGTTTTCCCGAAGGTTTTGGATACAACTTTTGGAAGAAACTTCCGGTCCTGACAGTGCAGGAGACGCCATTTGCAGGTCTGCAGCAAAGGGTCCTGACAGTGCAGATCTGCAACCAGTCTCACTTGGTCTTTTAATTTTACAGCGATTAACTATTTTTGTTGGTATATCATATAGAGCTTCAACTCATTGGGTTGATTTAAGCTAGCTTCAGTTTAATCTTGTCAAGCGCAGCGGTGAGTTACCGGCAGTCTGTGGCCTTGGGCGGCAGGATGTAAGGGAAGAGGTTCTCAGTCAGCTTCCGGAGGTAGAGAAGCTCGTCTCTGCGACTACGGAGCGCCACGTGGAGATCAGGACCGTACTCATCCAGGGCAGCTTGTTGGAAATACTCTGTGTTTTTTACTGCTCCGGAAAACAAGAATCAAATTACACCTGCACTTCTGATCATAATAGAAAGATGTTAGTCTTAGAAATCAGCAATACCTTTCTGTCTGGCTTTGCTGATAATTTCAATGTGTTTCATGGAAACTTTAAGAAGCTTTTGGGTGATGAGTGAAGCAACGTCCACCTTTGACAAAACAGAGAGAAATAAGATTTAATCTCATAATCAGAAAGATGAAGCAATCTGATAATTAGAATAATGGACCGGTCGAAATGGGCCAGGATTTGGGCTGGTCCATTAAGTCAGAATGTCTCACTTTTTGAGTTCGGCGGACCAAAACAGCTGCAAAGAAGCGTAAAGTCACCCTCAGCTCGTCAACAAAAGACTCGTCATCCGTGATATCCCTAAAAGAAAGCAATCTGTCACTTAAATCGAACACTATCACTCCCAAAAATAAACATAAAGATATACCAACCTGTACCAAGGATATACAAAATTTTCTAAGACAAGTTCCAGGATCTGTAAAAAAAACAAGAACCGATGAGAACATGAAATTGTTTTAAAATCTGTTTTATTGTTCGTCAGTGATGTCATACCTCCGACAGGGAAGCGTCCACCTTAGAGGGTATTTTCAGGTCAAGCCAAGGTTGATAGTTTTCCAGTAACAAAGTTGGTCTGAAAAAAATGGAACAAAAATTAAAATATTTTAGTGAAAAAAACAGCTGAAAGTAATTTTAGGCAGCCGTGTACCATATCACATGGTCCACTTTTTAACCTCTTTATCTTCAAATTGGTTTCTTACTTTGGTCATTAATTTGTGATACAAAAAATGATCACATATATTAGGGTGACAGAAAGAAAACATGGTTTTATTTTCTTAAAATAAAATGGATGTACTGCAGCATGCCTTTGAATCTATCTTTTATAGAACCACCTTGTGTTGAACATCTGACAACTGTTGCCCCTACTGATGCCTAAATTTATACATATTTATATATATGTGTGTGTTTTTACCTTTAATTAGTTGTCAAAATAAAATTTCTAAGCGCTCTATTTATTTTCAAAATAAATAGAAACGTAGGTATATTACAAATTTCTGAGAGCATTTATAATGGCCAGCGCTAATATACACCGTTGGGGACCAGTTGTAGCAGAAACAGTAGCTTGCAAAGGTTCCTAGGTCAACACTGGCTGTGTCATAACTGGAACGTTTAACTATGCACATGCAATCTGGCTGTTAGAAGGGGTTTGTTAGCCTCGTGAGACCATCCTGATCTCGCAAGGTTTCACTCGCTAATCAGTCTGGAGACTCTCTGTTAAAGAAAATTTGGAGCCGTTTACCAAACGAACGTCCAATCAGCGTTGGCTTTGAGGCGGGTTGAGGTGTGACGCAACGAGAAGCGCGACAGTTCAGTCTAAAGAACATGGCGGCTTCAGCCGATGAAACTAGCGTTAGCGTGGCTATCGAGCAAGTTTTATCGCAATTACAGAGTATTTCTTCACTGAAAGAAGAGCAAAACACTGCTCTGGAGGCTTTATCAGAGGAAAATATGTTTTTGCTCTTCTACCGACTGGTTTCAGCAAGAGTTTGATCTTTCAATTGGCTCCTCTTCGTCGTCGCTCTGTCAGTACGTCATATGCTTCGTTGATCTGATTGGTTTATTTGGCCCGTCTATCACCAACATAGGCCAATCAGCTAACCAGTATTTTCGCCCCTTCCCAAAATTACTTCAACGGAAGGTTTCCAGATGGATATGTGGAGCAAATCCATCTGGCGGAGTCAGGTTAGGGGTTTGTTGCATGTCTGCAATAATGGACAAACATGCAAAAATGTCTGCAATGCTCAAGATTCACATCAACAAAGAGCTTTTCGTTTTTTTGTGTGATTTTTTAAATTTTTGTCTGCAAAAAGATAAAAAAAAAAAGACAATTTAGCATTTTCTGAGGGCAAAAATTGACATGGAATAGCATCAGGATTCAGGTCATTTACCTGTGTCTTTTACATTTAATCTTTCCACAAACAGCACAGCTGTGGCCGAGGGGAAACAGCTCCTGCTGGAAGGACTGTGGGGGAAGGTTATCTCACTTTATCAATCTGTTACTAAAAGAAAATGTGCAGCTTTGCTTTTGGACAGGGCGTCTCCTACCTTCGCCTTTGGTTTAATGGACACCAAGACGTTTGGCAGCAGAGACTCAGGCCCCAGTGAGCAGTAAAAGGTGACCGCCCCGGCCAGGAAGGACCAAAACACCATGATTATGTGGATATATCTGTGAAAACAACTCACATCATTCCAGAGGCGGTTCTAACAGGGGCCAGTGGCCCCAACTGGTCCTGTCCCATGTACTGAATACATAAACTGCAAAAATGTAAGTCAATTTTTCTTGAAATAGATGTATATTACTTAAATTTAAGCAGGTAGGACAATTTTGCAGATGGAATAAAATTATTTATGTTAAAAAGAAAACAAGAAAAAAAAATGCTATCATCCTTCTTTAAATGCATATGTAGCGCCCCTTTGCCTACCTCGCTGGCAAAACCTCTGATAACCTGCAAACCAACTAAATATGGGGCGCCCTGAGTTCCTATCATTAAAAGGTGATAAAACTGCAGTCGTTTTTATCGGTTTGGTTATGAGCACCTTTGATAAACTCCTGTAAATATATATCTTTTTAACCCAATAAGAATATTAAGATGAAATAATGAATTGCAAGATGTAATGTCTTTTATTTATTTTTTACTAAAAAATTAAGGGTTAAATGAAATTACAGAATTTAAATAAAAGGCAGAATACCTTGTGGTTCAATAAATAAAAAACACTCACTCATAAGAGTGGGATCAAAGCTCAAAATAAATTCACAAAGCTCTCCAAACGATGCACACTTAAAATGAATACAAAACCTTGATATTTCAAGTTCTCATTTGAACTCAACCAATTACCCTTTAAACTGGAAAAATAATACTTTTCAAATTTCAAAATTTAAACACTCAGTGTCCATTAGTTTCTTTCAATGTCATAAACAAACACTTAGTCCAAATGCAAAATCAAAGTCGCCAGTAAATAACCTAAGCTATGCCGGCTTTCACTAGAACTAAACCCAGAAAATACCCCGTTGCAGGCCTGAACGTCGCTTGGGTGCGTTGGGCCCGAAAACTAACACTGGCCGCTTCACTCAATGAGCAAATAAAAAGAAACTGAGTTTGGTACCTGACCGTGGCACAGATGAGTGGAATAGAAGAGGAGAGTAGAGTTCACCGGCTCCCTGGTTAACCACGCAGCTGCAGCCTGGACCTGTCGTGGCTCCTCCCTCAGCACACAGCTCCTGCATGGACTCCCGCAGCGGCACAGAATCTCCCGACCTCCACTGTGTAGTTGGTTCCGGCCGTCTTATCCAAACTAGACCCCAACTTCTCCGATGTCCAGGATGATTCTAACCTTACAGTTCCCAAGCACTGCCGTCAGGAAGCTCACCACCACGGTAGCCGGCCTTCCTCACTGCCTCGGAACCTGGTGTGCTCGCGCGCTGGTCGCGTGTAGTTTTCCAACAGGTGTAACTCTTGGCTTCTCCAGTAAACCGAACAGAAAGTGTCCCGGAGCACCTCACTAAAGTCCACTGCAATATAAAGTGTCCTAGCCGAACACTTGGCTGCAGATACTTTCCCAAAGCCTGGAGAAGTTCGGACTTAGATTATGTCTACCGGAGGAACAACCGGGCAGGCTGTCTCCTTCACCATCCTCTCATTCACACATACTTTTTTCCACTTCCCTTCCCAGATCCTTGACCAATCAGAAACTAGTAAAATAATTTAGCAAGTATAACAAACAGAAATAAAATACAAAGATTTATAAAACACAAAAATTAGACATAGGAACATTACTAATGCTTGGAATTGCATTTAAAACGTTTTTTAAACATTTGTGACATAGTTACACTATAAAACCTTAATGAACTGAAAACAATCCCATTCATCAAAATAAAACCAAAAATTAGCACAGGGCTACACTCTCCCCCACTTAAATGGTTTACATGTCCCCATGAAACCTAGTTCCAATGAAGTATGAATAAAAACATTAACTCAAATAAAGTATTATAATTCCCTTTAACCAATCTTTATGACTACACCCCTATGCACTATAGTCAAAGGCTGATCTTTGGGCTTCCCTACCTCATCATAGGTTAGTCTGATAACAGGCTTAATAGACCTCTTCTCACGTTGAGGGGAAATTCGCTGAGGTTGGACTTCTTTAGTCACTCTAATGGGAGAATGTCTTTCAGGCTCTACTCTATCAATTGGTTCAGTAGGCATTTCTACATAATCAGTAGCCTCGATTTCACCATCACAAGAGTCCGCAATGTCTTCTGACATCACATCACATTCGTCCACCTCATCACGATCAGACACACTGTCCGACTCATCATGATCAGACACACTGTCCTGCTCATCAGAATAATTCTGTACCTCACGTTCATGCTCTCTGTCAGAGACAGCATGTTCAAAATCTTCCGATTCTGTCCCCCATCTGAACCTAGGCTGATACTCAGACTCAACCTCGCTAGAATCCTCATCCAGCAGATAACCTTCATTACCTTGAGACCTTTTAGCATGTGATCGATGCGTTACCGATTTTCTCTGACTCCTAGTCACAGGTCTTTTAGGTTTCTCTGGAACATCTGTCTCCTGAGAAATTCTCACCAAACTTCCAATAGGCAAAAGGTTGTCTCTGTGAATAGTTCTTAGCTTCCCCATCCCACTTTCAGGCTTCAACCTATAGACAGGCAAATCAGGAAGCTTTTCCACTATCACATAGGGTAAAGAGTTCCACCTACTCTGCAGTTTGTGTTTCCCCTTCAACCCCAAGTTTCTCAAGAGCACACGATCACCCTTGGCTAACACTTGGTTGCGTAGGACTCTCTCATAGTTCCTTTTGTTTCGTAGATGAACTTGAGTTGCAGACTTGGTAGCCAATTCGTATGCCTTCTTTAAGTCTCTTTTTAGATCTTCCACATAACGTGAATGACTGATTGGTTCTTGATCATCAGTACCAAAACATACATCGATCGGCAATCTGGCCTCTCTGCCAAACATGATGTAATAGGGAGAATACCCTGTAGCATCATTCTTGGTGCTATTGTATGCATGTACTAATTGACTCACATGACGACTCCACTGGCGCTTGTGGGTATCTCTCAAGGTTCCCAGCATAGATAACAGTGTTCTGTTAAAGCGCTCTGGCTGTGGGTCGCCCTGAGGATGATAGGGAGTCGTCCGTGACTTACGGATCCCCAATGTCTTTAGTAGTTCCTGGATCAACCGGCTCTCAAAGTCACGGCCTTGGTCTGAATGAATTCGAGCTGGTAGACCATAGTGAACGAAGAATTTCTCAACCAATACCTTGGCGACAGTGGCTGCCCGTTGATCTTTTGTTGGATATGCTTGCGCATAACGACTGAAATGATCAGTCACCACGAGAATGTTGGCAATTCCACTCGAGTCTGGCTCTAAAGAGAGGAAATCGATACATACTAGCTCCATGGGTCCTGTGGAAGTGATCTGTTGTAACGGAGCGGCTCGTGGACATGGACTCTTCCATGTGACACACTTCCCACAGTTTCCTACGTACGTCTCAACAGTCTGACTCATCTTTGGCCAATAGAACCTTTCTCTGATCAGTTCTAGAGTCCTCTCTACTCCCAGATGTCCCATGTGATCATGCAAAGCACGGCACACCTGCGTTCTGAACTCTTTGGGTAAAAGCAACTGGCGGTGTTCTTTACCAGAAGATTTAGTTGTCACTCGGTAGAGCAATCCAAATTCAATCGTCAGTTTGGCACTCTCACGTTTTAACAAAGACACCTCTGCATCAGTAGCATTAGAAAGCCATTGGCCTGTGTTCAAGGCCTCTCTCACTACATTGAGGGCAGGGTCTCTGATCTGTGCTCTTTGCAAATCGTCTTGGGTGAACTGTTCTAGCTGCCCAACGTTCAAGTGAGTTGCAAAAGAATAGAGTTCAGGAATACCCTCTGCAGGAACTCCTAACCTCTCAGCCATACATACATCTTGTGCGTTCACCTGGCTGCAAAGTGTTTTCACATCACCCTGACACAGTTTCTTCCAGGGCTCTGCTTCAACATCAGACCAGTTTCGGGAGAGTAAGTCAGCGCCAACGTTCACCTTTCCAGGGTGATATTTGACTTCGAAATCATACGTGGCTAGTGCAGCAAGCCACCGGTGACCTGTTGCATTGAGTTTTCCAGTTGTCAGCACATAGGTGAGTGGATTATTGTCGGTCATTACCGTGAACCTCACACCATATAGGTAATCGTGGAATTTGTCTACCACGGCCCACTTGAGTGCTAGAAACTCGAGCTGGTGGATGTGATACTTCTGCTCCGCAGGAGTCAATCCTCTGCTGGCAAATGCAACAGGACGGAGACCTTCAGGATGAACCTGGTGTAAGACTGCTCCCAAACCTTTAAGGCTTGCATCAACATGTAGCACGTAATGCTTGTTAGGGTCTGCGAACGCTAACACAGGCGCGTTGGTAAGCCGTCTGATGATCTCACGAAAAGCTTTTGTGCATGCATCAGTCCATCGTGAGCCAAAAGGTTCAGCCTCCTTGTAATATTGTTGATCTTTCGCGACAGTCTTTTTGCCTTTCCTAACCGGGGGATACCCTTTGGTCAGGTCTGTCAAGGGCTTAACAATGGAGGAGTAATTTGCCACGAATCTGCGGTAATAACCACAGAAACCGAGGAATGACCTGAGTGATTTAAGGTCAGTAGGCTGTGGCCATTGGGTTACAGCTTCAACCTTAGCTGGATCTGTCGCAATCCCATCAGCAGAGATGATATGCCCAACATACTTGACTTTGGGCTGACAGAACTGGCACTTATCTAAAGACACTTTTAAACCTACTTCCTCAAGGCGGTCTAATACTTTCATGAGTCTTTCCTCATGTTCTTCCAACGTAGCGCCAAACACTATTAAATCATCGAGATAAACGAGGACTTGCAGCAAATTCATGTCCCCAACGGCCTTCTCCATTAGACGTTGAAACGTCGCAGGAGCTCCCATTACCCCTTGAGGCATACGCTCGAACTGGTAGAAGCCGAGAGGACAAATGAACGCGGTCTTTTCTTTATCTTCCTCTGCCATCGCGATTTGGTAGTAACCGCTACGGAGGTCTAAGACAGAGAACCATCGACTTCCTGCTAAACAATCCAATGCGTCATCAATGCGCGGTGTGGTGTATTGATCTGGTATTGTC